ATCTCACTGGGCTCACCATTAAAAAAGACTTCTACCCCTTTACTCTTGGAGGGGCTGATCTAGTTCTCAATATTAAGTGGCTAGCATCTCTCAATACGGTACAAGCCAATTGGAATCAATTCTTTATGATTTTTTGGTTCAATAGCAAGAAGTATAAACTCCATGGAGTTCCTATTCCTAATAACACTAGAAGTGCTAAGTTTAATTCATTACAACAAATAGAAGCTTCTGCTGACTCTAACCAGTTCCACTATTTCAACCAGAGCCACTATTTAAAGAATTCCCGTTAGTTTTTGAAAAACCCACCAATTTGTCCCTATTTAGAAACCATTCACATGCCATTCCCTTGTTACCAAGGGCCAGTCCTCCTAATTTGAGACCATACAAGTACCTGTATTATCAAAAGGCAGAGATTGAGAATCAAGTTGAAGAATTGTTGAAAAAGGGGTTCATCCAACCTAGCTCCAGCCCATTTGCAAGCCCAATCTTATTGGTCATAAAGAAAGATGGTTTATGGCGTTTCTGTGTGGATTAAGGAAAGTTGAACAGTCTTACAATTCTAGATAAGTATCCCATCCACAACATTGATGAGTTATTAGACAAATTACATAGGGCAGTTTATTTTTTCAAACTTGATCTTCGTTCTGGATACCACCAAATTCGGATGTTACCTGAGGATATTTACAAAACAGTGTTTCATACTCATTCCGAGCACTGTGAATTCACATTTATGCCCTTCGGCTTAACTAATGCCCCGGCCATTTTTCAAGCTGCTATGAATGATTTATTGTGTCCTTTTTTGTGGAAATTTGTATTGGTATTTTTTGATGACATATTGGCGTACAGTTCCTCTTTCCATCAGCACCAAGATCACTTGCGCATAGTTTTATGGGCCTTGCAGGACAATGTATTTCGTGTGAACTTAAAAAATGTTTTATTGGGAAGACATGAGTTCCTTTTTCAGGACACAATTTCTGCCCAAGAAGTTGAAGTTGAGGCAGAAAAGGTGTAGGCTGTACATGAATGGCCTATTCCTAAAAATATGAAGGAGCTGCGTGGTTTTTGGGGCTTACGGGGTATTATTGGCGTTTTGTCAAAAATTTCTTCATCATTGCATGCTAACTTACTGAATTGACTAAGAAAGATGCCTTCCTATGCTCTGAACAAGCTCTAAAGGCCTTTAATTGCCTCAAGCTTGCATTAATGATGGCACCCGTCTTGCAACTGCCTAATTTTGAGGAGGAATTCACGATTGAATGTGATGCATGAACCAAAGGGACTGGAGCTATTCTAATGCAAAATAACCACCCCATTGCTTACTTTAGTAAAGGATTTTCTGTCTCTAACCATTACAAATCTACTTATGATCGTGAACTCTTAGCATTATTAGTTCTTGCAATACAAAAATGGCACCATTACCTCCTAGGAGGCATTTCTTCGTAAGAACAAATCATGCGAGCCTTCAATATTTACTACAACAATGCATTACGACTAATACCCAACAAAGGCTGATCATCAAGCTCTTACCATTTAATTTCACTATCATCCACAAAGCAAGTGTGGATAATAAGGGAGCTGACTCCTTGTCAAGACGACCCCAACATGCAGATTTTTTTCAAATCGCAGTACCTTTCGCCTCTTAGTTGCAGGATCTCTCCTCTAAATTGGCTCTAGATCTTTTCACCAATGAAATAATGTTGGATTTGCAAAGGGACTCGTCATCTTGGCTGAGATTCCATTTGGTTGACCAAAAGCTCTTCTATGATAATTGAGTAGTCATCCCTTATACATCACAATTGCAACCTCAATTACTAGCAGAAGCTCACTCTTCGACTATTGGGGGACATGGTAGTTTTCTTAAAACATTTAAGCAACTCTTAGAAAACCTTTATTGGCCTACAATGAAAGCAAATGTGAAGGCTTATGTGATGCATTGTACCACTTGTTAGCAAAATAAGTATCAAAATTTGGCACCAGCAGGTCTCCTCCAGCCATTACCTATACCCTCTCAGATTTGGGAAAAATTCCTTTGTTGAGCTAAATACTCATACAATAGAGGTCATCATGCATCCACCAATTCTACTCCTTTCCAGTGGGTGTACAGTAGAGATCCACCTCCCCTGCTTCCATATGTGAAAGGTGAAACTTCTATAGTTGATTTAGAAGATCAATTGGAAACTAGAAATACAATGCTCAAACTCCTGAAAGATGATTTGCGCAAGGCTCAAGACAAGATGAAGGCCCATGCGGACAAGCATAGGAGGGAAGTCAAGTATGCTAAGGGTGATGTTTTTTGGTTGCAGGTTCAACCCTTTCGCCAACAATCGCTCGTTAAGAGGAAATTTGAAAAGTTGTCCCCTCGTTTCTTTAGCCCCTACAAGATCTTTAGGCAGATTGGAAAGGTAGCTTGTGAATTGGAGCTTCCTTCCGGTGCTCGAATTCACCCTATTTTCCATGTATCTCTCTTACAACTTGCTCATAGGATTGATCCACCCAATTCCCCAACTTCCTTACCCCCCCCCACTACTGATTTTAAGTTCCATGTGGCACCAGATCAAGTCTTAAACCATCGTTGGACTCGACATAACTCGCTTGAACTATTGGTGCAATAGCAGGGTCGGCCTGTGGAAGAATCAAGCTGGGAGGACTACAACCACTTGCAGGCTCAATTCCCCTCTGTTCAACTTGAGGACAAGTTGAGTTTTCAAGGGGGTAATGATAAGATTGCCCTAAAGATTTATTCGAGAAGGAAGTGACAGAAGATAAATTAAATTAAATTTTATTATTTTGTTTAAATTTGAATATTTACTTAGAAGATTTCATTTAGATATTTAGTTTTTATCTAGATTTAGATTTTATTTAGATCTTATTTAGGTTTAGATTTTATTTAATCTCATTTATTCCGATCTTATTTGGATTTAGTTTTTATTATCTAGTTATCAATATTTCATTTGTATTTGCCTTTATAAATATGACTAGCAACTCAGAAGCAAACATATCATCATCAATAAAATAGTTCTTAAAACCATTTGGAGATTCTCCTAAGTGTGGCTATTGAGAAAAATATAGAATAAGATTCTTGTTCCATATTATCTTAATAGAATTGTCCTTCCTGTTTCCTCTTATTATTTTGAGCGTTCTAACAGAAGAGAATGAAGATCAGAGGGAGACCACTTCATTAGAATAGCATAAGGGATTTGCAAATATATCTCATAGTATTTATATAAGATAACCACAATTAAATATCATCATTATCTCTATTTCAAAACCAGCATTTAGCCAAATAGTAGGATTAAAATACCATACACTACCATATCCATACCAGCACCAAAAAGCCTTATAATTACAAGGCTATTCACCACAAGCAAAGCGAGGAACCACACCCGAACTTCACATAATTCATGTCCTAATATAATTCTTATATGACAGTGCATAAATAACCAGAATTAAAATTCAAACAGAAGCCAGGATGTGACCAAGTTGCAGTTCAATGATTTACTCAACAATGGTCCACTTCAACACCAAAAAATTTAACATATTCATGGAAGAGTATTGCTACAAAACAGCACCATGCATAAGCAAAACTTGCTCATCCATGAGATCAAACCCATTGTCGTTTGTAAAATATGAGGATAGAAGCTTCAAGCTCAATAAGCAAGCCAATAAATGAAAAGGAGAAAGCATCTTCATCATCCATCTAGATGATGGTAGTTATCTGGTTAACTATTAGAAAACCATAGGCATCCATAAGAGTTTTGGAAACTGCTAAGGAAGAAAGATTTCACAAAAAGGGGAGAGGGAACACTGCAGGTATTCATCAGCAATGGAATGGCTATAGAAGCAGATGCCAGCCTCTCTTTTTACAGCCAGACTATTTTAAAGCTTTTGGTCCTCCATACCATCTTTAATTTCAAAACTGATGACACACAATGAAACAACAAACTTTGATGTTGTTTAGTGCAACAACAGCCAACTTTAACATTAATAAGACACCCCTTCTTAGGCCCCCATAGCAATAGAAATCTGCTTTATTTTCTTCCTTGGCTCTAAATTAAATTTTTTAAAAAAATACATTTCCATTTTTATTGTAAACACAAATTTCATTTTCCATTCTAACTTGATTGCCTTGAGGACGAGGCAAATGTTGTTGTCAAGCCAGTTGGCACACCCAAGTCAGAGCATCTGAGTCAAAGTGAGCTAATTTCCCTGTATTAATTTGAAGCCAAGCAACAATATGGTTTCAGTAATAGAATATCCACTGTAGAATTGGAAGTAGAAAAGTTGTACCAAGTTCACAGGCTCTAAGGAGCCACTGTTCTGTATAAAAGCAATTCTACATCTCTCTCATATAATCATGCCTATGTAATTTACCACCAAGTTTAAATTGATAACAAACAGGCAGCAAGTCAGCAACTAACCTAAAAAGCATAGTAAGATAATTAAATCCTACAATTGCTATTTCATGTGCTTCCCATTCAAAACATTATTTTATGTTCAACAACGTGTAACCATAAACTAATATAAGATTCAAGATGCAAATATATCTTATCATCTATTAATTTCATTAACTGAGTAGAATTGAGAAAAATATCCCATTGAAAGTAAAAGTTATGCTATGGAGAAGTGTTTAGATTTTGTTTTAGCTTATGTTCAGCCAAAAATTCCATTTTGTTGTTTAAGGTTCATCACAAGTTATTGATACATGATTGCAATGCAAACTAACCACTCTAACATATTCCCCTTATATACGAAATATATGGAATTTTATGAGTAATTTTACATGTCTAAAAATATATTGTAGACTGTAGAAGGACAAAGGAGCTGCTAATGAGTTACATAATGCTGCAATACTAGTAAGCAGTCATGGGTAGAGGACGGAACACGATATATAAACCACAAAATAATATCAGTTACGTCATATCTAATAAAAATGCATATAAAATAGGGCACCCTTATATTAAGTATCGGTGCTTCGTTGCTCCAAAATCAACAGGTATTACCTGAACCCAGCAAGAAAGCTAAGAGAAGTGTCCCAGGTGACTTGATCACGCGGCGCAAGTCAGCCCTAAATAACAACAACGTAACGGCTATTGGGAGCAGAAAACCAATAACAATCTTATATGCCGAAGCTTCACTGGCAATAATTCCCAAATTACTCGCTGCAAGCCCTACTAAAATGCTTACCAGAGAACCACTCAATGTGCTACCAATCTTGGTCCTTTCCAACCTTCAGTTAAAAAGATAGAAAACAAACCAACTTCTGAGCGCATTACCGTAATTCTCTGCACAAATTTAAAAATCGAGAAAGAGACGAGTAATTGGGGTATGTGAAAAATTTACCAGATGCCAAAAGCAACGGCGGCGAATAGACCGGTCCAGGTGCCCCATTGATCTTCAGGAGAAATCAGAGGGGCATCGAAATTGGTTCGGAAAACAGATTTAACTGCATTAAGAGATCTAGCTCTGGTAGGAACCAAAGATGGAGAGAAAGTAAAAGGATGGACATTGTCGATGAAAGAAGAATTCAGCAATGGATGCTGAGATACAGAAGTAGCTGCTCGGGCTGAAGTGAAAAGTTTTTGTAGGGAAAACGGACGCAAACGTCGCGGAGGCGGAGGCGCCGGCGCCGGTCCCCGACAAGGCCGAGAGGCCGGATAGTGCAGAGAATATAAGGCCATTGAAGATTAACCTTACAAGTCACAAGGAAGATATGGAGAGTGAAGAATACAGATCTTGTTGCCATGCCTGTGGCCGTTGCCCGAAACAGAGGGAACACAGTTCAGTTTGAGCAGGTTGTCAAGAAAAAACGAGACTTTTTTATCAAAATACTACAGACACGCAAGGTAAATGAAATTACCCAAATGTTAATACTATATTAAAAATTGTTCATTTGTAAAATGAGTTTTGAAGTTCTGAAAAAATCATTCTCATTTTAAAATGGTTTTAAAGTCAGAAATTATTTTGGAGGAATGGCATTAAGGGCTTTACAAATAAAATTTATTACATTTGGAGTCTAAGTCATTTTGAAATTGCTCTGCAGGCTTTGGGCCCACGTGCAATATTTTTTTTAGAGCAAAAATACTATTTTGCCCTTAATAGAAAGAAATGAAATTAAACGCAGAAGGAGGATGACAAACGCAAGAATGGGTTTTCAGCAGGAGGATGGGAAGGTTTCTGAGCTCTACTAAGAGTAACTTTTGAGGTGTGTAAATTTCAAAATTCCTCCATATTCAGCAGTGCTTCTGATGATTTCAAGATCTCAGCTGGAGGTTTTTAAGTTTCTCACATTCTTGCTGTAGAAATGAGCTAAGATTTTTATTATTCTTGCTGAAAAAATGAGCAACATCCGTTTTTGCTGTAGAAATAATTTAAGGGTAGAAATGATTTAAGGTTTATCATTGTTGTATGTCAGTTGTTGATGAAGTGATAACAGAGATGATCTTCACTCACTCAACATGTAGTAATTCATTTAGTGGAAGCATTTAATGGGTTTTTACATGAAGTAGTAGGATGCATATGAGATGGACTTTTTATTGTACAAACTGCAATTTGATATTGTTGAGATTGAAATTTTATTTGTGATTCTACTGCTGATATGAGGTAAAGATTGCTGAACTGTTTTGGCCACGAAAGTTTTAAAATGGATTAGTTTTTGTACAATAATAATGGTTGACTTGTATATATTGGACTTATACATGTGAATTGAATAAAATATGATCCAATATAAAGAAAATATTCTGTCAAAAATGTTAGAGTATTTATTGTGCAAAAATAAACTTTGAGTTATTTTTGTTGAACATTGAGTTGTGCATTATGTTAAGCTTGGCTTAATAATAAATTGGAATTACATGACTTTCAGGTGAGAATATAGAAACTTTGTGTTGTGCATAATGGATATTATGTTGTGCCATATTTGTCTAACTTAAGCATTTCTTTTGTTAAGCCTAGCCTAATGATAAATTGGAAGACATAGACTTTCAGGCGAGAATATATGAACCTTATATTTGCATAATGGATATTGTGTTATACATTGTTTGCTTACGAACAAGGAGGATAAAGTCTCAATTCTAAGATAAGAAGATTTATCATTATTTAAGACGTGGGAAGCCCAGATATAGTCACAAGACATACAAGAATCCTAATCCAGCATAAGAAATAATCACATTATACTTCTTTGGTGTACATAAACAATGATAATTATGTATATGGAAACATTCCCCAATAATATTGTTTAGGTAATTGGGAATGACAAATTTTTTTTTTGTATATAAAAAAGCAACTGTTAAATGTTTTGGATATAGTGGCTAACTTTTTGTATACATCAAACTTGAAATATCATGTCAAATTTCATGTGGGTACTTGTTTTAGTATCTAAGCTAATACCAACATAAAATTCTTCATATATGATGTAATTGTCCTTCTTAATATTGGAAATTCATGGACTTTTTGTTGAGTATGCATAGACATCATCTTGTGCATAGTGGATGTTATATCGTGTATGGTCTGCCTAACTTGTCATTTTTGTTGAACAAGGTTAGTAAAATACTCAAAATGCATAGGCTTTTTGTTGCGCATGTGTAAACATCGTGTGTCGTGCATGGTCTGCCTAACTTGTCATTTCAATTAAACCCAAAGCTAGTGAAATACTCGAAATGTATGGGCTTTCTATTACACATGTGTGGACATCATCTTGTGCATAATAGATGTTGTGTCATGCATAGTCTGCCTAACTTGTCATTTCAGTTAAACCTAAGGCTAGTGAAATATTTGAAATGCATGGGCTTTTTGTTGCGCATGCGTGGATATCGTCTTATGCATAAAGAATGTTGTATCGTGCATGGTTTACCTAACTTGTCTTCAGTTAAACTCAAGGCTAGTGAAATACTCGAAATGCATGGATTTTCTATTGTGCATGGATAGACATCGCCTTGTGCATAAAGAATGTTGTGTCATGTATTGTCTGCTTAACTTGTCATTTCAGTTGAACCTAAGGCTAGTGAAATACTCAAAATGCATGGACTTTCTGTTGTGCATGCGTGGATATTGTCTTGTACATAGTGGATATTGTGTCATACATAGTTTGCCTAACTTGTCATTTCAATTGAACCCAAGGCTAGTGAATTACTCAAAATGCATGGACTTTCTATTGTGCATGCGTGGACATCGTCTTATACATAGTGAATATTGTGTCGTGCATGATCTACCTAACTTGTTATTTCAGTTGAACCTAAGGCTAGTGAAATACTCAAAATGCATGGACTTTCTGTTGTGCATACATGGATATCGTCTCGCGCATAGTGAATGTTGTGTCGTGCATGATTTGCCTAACTTGTCATTTTAATTGAACCCAAGGCTAGTGAAATACTCAAAAAAGGCTAGTGAATTACTCAAAATGCATGAATTTTCTGTTATGCATGCGTGGACATCATCTTGTGCATAGTGGATATTATCTTGTACATAATGGAAAGGCCGAGACTTGTAGATTTCATTTCTTTTCATTCAAATATATACATAATTTTAATTACAAATAAAAACTAATTCCAAATGACAAAAAAAATCTTAAAATATGTACATAATCCAAGTAAGAGAACCTAATTCCACAATCCTATAATTTTTCTTTCTAGACTTCAATAGCAACCTAATTCCATTCTATATGGCTTCCTCTCCTCTATGCTCATTTCTTTCCATACTTCAGTTGCAACCTCATTTGAATCACCTACTTTTTTGTATTTGCTTTTTATTAATCTCCAAAAATTCTCTTCTAAAATCACGCCATCCCGTAGTTGATATTAGCTTTTGTGATTTGTTGAAAGCCATTTTATGCTATGCACTTGAACAAATTGACTATGATTAGCAGAAGAGAAAATGATCATGGATGGCAAAGCATAGCATGCATTAATATATTCTCCATTCATATAATTATGCTAAAAGCTTACAAATATTTATGTAGTTGGGCACTTGTCGGCTTGGAAGAAGAGGAAAGGGATATAAAAAAGTGAAAGCTTACCTCTCTTACAAAGTGTTCTTCTCTCTCTCTCTCTAGGTATTTTGATATTTTCTCTGCTCCCAAGAAAACCCTGGCCTAAGGAATCCTGCAAACTTCATGTAAATGTAATTAAGCCTTGATACTTGCAACATGCTACCCTCTCAATGATTGTGCCAACAAATAATCATGGACTAAATTCACTCTATATTTCTTCTAAACTTGGAGTTATATGTGTGTATTAATTTTTTTTACCGTCAAAACTCAGGAACAAGATGCTCAACTTACACATTTCTACATATAAATTATCCAAATTGCAGAAAAGAGTTATCTCTCAACTCCACGTCATGCAAAGCTTATAGGGATGTGGTAGGGCGGCAGTACTCACATCACAACTATATTTAAAATTAAGTAGCACTCATTAATTTCCTTATATTATAGATAAAATTATCACACTGCTCAATGACTGATATGGAGCTCTTAGCTCTTACTAGCATGAGTTGCTTGAATTACTTATCCATTTATCACTTGGAGAGGTTAACTTCAAATGGCCTAATAGCTTTCCTTACGACATGTCAAAGTCTGATAGAGTGAAGCTAAACACATCCTTTAAGTCATTACTACCTGAACATGTTCAAGAATACATGGAAGTAAAGAATCTCAAGCTTCTAGGCATTAACTCATTCATATTCATGTTTACAGGAATATTTTTCTGGGTTAGATATATGACATTCCATTTATTATTCAAGCTTACTAATCAGAAGCTACAGATGTATTAATAGGTGGGAATAGGTCAAAAAGGATGGGGTAAGATGCTAAGAGGAGTTTTGAAACTCCATAAGGTAAATATGGCATCTTAGTTTTTATTATCTAGAAAAAGTCAGCAAAGATGGTTTTGTGGTTTAAATCATTAAATATCATTGTGTTGACAGTGGCTACTCACATGATCTAAATGTTCAAAATTTTTAGGCAATACTATTTTTTACTATCCAGAAACTCAGGCTGGAGGAAGGATGTCATCAACGATTCAGTTAAGGATAAATATATATGAATTGTATATATCATACACAAACAGCTAAGAAACTTGAGTGAGATTAGCTAGATATATAAAGTATATGGCTACACAAACCATCCAAGACACAACTTAAGACTGATATGTGACTTTGTTCTTTGTTCTTAGAATTAATCAGATGTACATATCTCTCTTAGGCTCATGTCTTTCTTCTAATTTTTGACGTATGTGACTGTAATTTTCTGAAACAAAAGATTAACTAACTAGTTAGGTGGACTTAACCACAACCAAAACTAGCTTTTGGTTTCTATTAACTTTTCATAAGAATAGTCTTGCTAAATTCAACTTGCCAAGATGAGAAAACAAGGTTAAACATCAATATGACACCGAGAGAGAAAAGGGAAATTCTGAACAAAATTTTTGATTCCTAAAATTAAAGTCCTCTCCTTTTCCAAACCACCTCATGGATCTAATTAATAGGATTCAATGTTAAGAGGTTGAGGCAAAGAATAGAACTAATTACCAAAGTCGTAGACATTAGAGACTTAGTGTTGAGATGCTGGGTGATAATGAGAGATTGGATGTGACCGTGTGAGGATGTGAGCTTCAGACGACAAGAACGAGACTCCGATAGAAGCTTAAGGGAAGTTGTGAGGGCGTTCGGGATGAACGACGATGGCAAAGAATAGATCAAGCCGATCACCAGCAATAGTGATGAGAACACGTCAGCACAAGAAATAACGAGCAAATAGAGCAACGAGTGGTGACATGAGAAGGAAGATA